TAAAAATGGAGAGGTTTGTTATCTCTAGACAACTAGCATCACCTTCTCCCACCACACTACCTCCCTGCTTGCTCCCTGTAGTGTCTTGCTAACAGCACATGTGTACAGTCAGATAAACTTTTTGAGCTGGCCATGAAGGATTCAGAGCTCTTGCTGACATGAAGCCCTCACCCCTCTAGAAAAATGAAAACCCTCCCCATGTTGGTCTTCTAAGCCTGCATTTAAGTAGCACACAGGTGTGTGCCCCTAGAACAAACACAAAGTTGTACTCACGGTCAAGCCCATTCAAGTAGCGCATCCGTATCTCGCAGTGTCCCCACACGGCGCTCACCACTGGATACAGCTTCTTCCCTTTGAGGCCCCGGAAGGCAACACCCATGTATTGCCCATCTACAATGAAGCTCAGTGTCCCATCATCCATGTCCAGAACCACCAGGAAGGAGTCCGGCACAATGAAAGTCTCATCTGGCTCTAGGAAGGCAGGATAGGTTTTGCTTGGCTGGTTCTTGCCATCGTGGTACAGTCTGTTGCGCCCGAGGTCCCACCCCCAAGATTCGTGGTTGTTCCCCACGAGTGTCGTGTACCCCACTGAGTGCAGAGGGGCATCTGCCGTTGCCACCCCCACCACGGCGTGCGTGCCTCGCTGCCTCATCGCCCACGTGATCTGCCACACGTGCAGTCCTCGTGTGTATCCCACTTTGCCTCTGATGGCGTCTGTACTCTGGGCCACCGGATGCCGGTGAAATATGAGTTTGTCATCCTCCTTCACAAAGACGTTCAGCGAGCGGTCGTCGTTGTTCCACGAATGCAGCAGCTGCACCTCGTACGACACCGGGGGCATGTCCAGCAGCAAGTCCAGACGTGTGGGTTTGCTGTAGTCGAGTCCTTGGAGTTCCTGTTTCAGTGGCCTGTACACTGGGTCTCTCATATCCACAGTCTTGATCCCACCTGTGACCTTCTGACCCATGGCGTGTTCTGATTTTGCCTATTTCTAGGCTCCCAAGGCAAGCTCATCGATTCACCCGGCTGCTCCTGCTGGCATTCAGCCCTACAGCACAGGTTGCTAGGAGACCTCCTGGAGATGTGCACCGGTCAGTACTGCCTAATGGAAAGAAAAACAGGAGACAAGTTACACGTTAGCACCTACAGCCTTGGAGGCAACATTTACAGAGCACTCTCAAACTGTTATCCTGGCAACTCCACTTTCCTTTCCCCCAGCAAGGAAGGGTAATGCAGGCTGTGTATGCAGTGTACCCTGCCCAGCAGAGACAGCACACATCCCAAAGAGATAGGCACCAAGTTTCTAATGCCCCCTTCAGAAAGGAACTTGAATTTCTGCCTAGGAAGACAGATTCTGCTACCAGAGCTCATCTTCACAGTGAAAGCACTGTTCCTTATTACTGCATCCCTAAACCTTAGCAGACCACATCCGTATTTAGGCTGCCTCCAGCAAATCTTGCTTTTACATCATGATCACCTACCTATTGTCCAGGCTGCAAAATGTTATATACTTTCCAAGTTACTGGGGTTGTTTTTGAGATCTTTTCTGTGGTGGATTCAATGCATAAGAACGAGAACCCAGTACACAATAATCCCCGAGATTTAAATTTTTCCTGATTGTCTTCAGTTGTTCTAAGGACTGAAACCAGTGTCTTCTACAAGCATAGTTTTGCCTAGTCTCCCAGCCCTAGTTCGTATCACAAGGTCACACTGAGCAAGACATCCCAGGGAAGGCCCAGGCAACCCTGTTCACTGCTCCAGCTCCTTCCAACCACCGTGGAGAATTTCTTCTCCTGCCAAAGCCCTCTCTATAGCTATCCACAATGGAGCCAACACACACAAGGCACTGAACACTGAGAAACAGTCCCAACAGCTCCAGATGATTTCTCAAAGCCCTGAGTTTACAATCACATTGTCTTTGGCCCCTGTAGCCACATGCTACAGCTGGCTAGCAGTGAGGGCTTGGGTTATATGGGCAGCTGCTCTGCAAAGCTTTACTCAGAGCTGTCCCTAGCACAAAAGAAAGTGGCATTACTAAAACTTTGCCCTCTGCTGCTCTAGAGTGGTTGCAATTAGTCTTCAGAATGCAGAACATTCATAATCATGGCCTCCACTATGAGGAAAGGAAAGTAGGCTGCATTTCAGGAGGAATAGTTGTGTTAGAGCTCAAGAAGAGGATCATAGTTAGACTGACAAGTAGAACATGCACTCCAGACAGACCTAGCACCCTCAGTGTTTTTCCAAGGTCCAAACCAGCCTATTCATCTAACACATTAGATCAGCACTTGGTGTTCTCCTAGCTGATACTCCAGTGCTTCCAGATCTGACAGACAGATGAAGACAACTAAACTCCAGCCCTTCTCTTTTTCACTGACAGCTATAAATGAAAGCTCTTGGGGAACCTCTAGGATGTAAGCATGCCCCAGAGTAAAGGCTGCATAGCACACACACACAAGCATCACTTGTTATTGTCATCCAGCCACAAATAATTTTCTCCCTTCCGCACAACCAGCTCCAAAAGAGAAATAAAGCATTGAACCCAAACCATCTCCCCATAGCAGTGATCAAACAAGGTGGGAGCCAGGCAATAAAAATAATAGCTTCTCCATCTGGAGAGTGACAAACCTTCCACAGATCAGCTGGCAAAGCAACTAGCAGCCACTAATACAGTTTTGAGGCGACCAGTCTCTTCAGCTCAAAGCTCTGCTAAGTACCTTGGATGCCAAGTCCTGCAAGTCCCAAACAGCAGAAAAACCTGCTGGGTCCCACCTTGGGGGACATCTATTCCAGCAGCTATTGGTACTATCAGCCCCACTGAATTATGATAAGAGAGCAGATAAACCTGCCATGAGGCTTATCTCAAATGACCAGTTTCAGTGGGGGCAGCTCCTCTTCTCCAAGAAGAAAAAATACCCAGCCGCAGATGCAGAGTCCAAGGGGAAGAGCAAGATTCTTCTCACAGTTTAGCAGTTTTCCTTCCAAATTTCAGAGAAATCTCTAAAAGGTTTAAGCCAGTTTGGCTAGAGATACGAGCTCGCTTTGTGTGCCTCTCCTCCAGCACCGTATCCACTGAAGTGTCTCTGCTCTCACTCAGCAACACAAACAACCCTCTGTAAGACAGCTGCCAAACTGGGGGCAGCCATTAAGAGAATTAGAAGTGGGAGGGGAGGGGAACTAGCTTTCTAAGAAAAAAAAGTGTTATTTTAACATTTCCTGAAGTGAGGCAATCACGCAGGGCTCCTGCCAGCTACAGTCACAACACTTACTCACAAGCAAGGACTTTATCTGGCATAGAAAATGAAGCATGAATCAGATCTGGTTTAAAAATAAGGTTACTGGACATAAGCAGCAAGGCTTCAGCTAGAAGATGAGAGGGAAAGCTCATGCACCCTCTCAGTTAGGGACCAAATCACCTTCACTACAGGTTTTTACTACTAGTGCAGGCTATGCCATTGGAACAATAAGCTCAAATCTTGTAGTCCTTATGTGAAAAGAGACAAGACTATTTTTTTCCCTTCCTTCCTTTTTTTTTTTTAAGTAATGAGAGGAAAACACCTGAGGTTCCTTAAGAGTCACATCCAAGCACACACTCCTAGGCATCAGTATGGCTGTGTACAGTTATTCAGGGACCTCAGGTTAACTGACCATCTCCTGGCCATCAGCAGCTGTACAACAACTGCCATTTCAATAAGGTGCACTCACATTATCAGCTGGTAAGATAACCGAGACATCCTGCAGGTTAAATGCACAACATCAAAACAAATCCTGAATTGTCTAAGCCAGCTGGTCAGCAGCTGAAGGTAAGAGTGTAACAGCCACACAACCAAGGGCTGACACAGTCACTGGACACCAGTGCATCACCCTCAGTTGTTCTGCCCCACAGCTCAGGTGCTTGGGTCCAAGTGTTTCCATGACACAGGCACTCCCAGCTTCTGAGGGCACAGGCTCCCATGCTCTGTAAGCCTCAGGAACAGCAGTATCTTGAGCCACAGGATCCCAGAACAAGTCGATAGATACACGAGCTGGGCTGCTGGTTAAAGTTCAAGTACACTATTGTACACTTCCAGAGACTGTCACAACATCACAACCAGTCCTACAAACCCACCTCGTAAGCTGCTTGATCTTTCTCAACTCAGCACATGCACTGCATGGTTATTCAAGGGTTTCACAGCAGTCCCTCCCAGCCATCCCATCTTTAAGCCCTCAGACTGTGCATACTCCAGTTCTCACCTCGAGAAAACCTCAAAGTGAAAGCACTGTAACAGGTGTCTTTCCTGGGAAAGGCACATCCACCCTGACCACCAGCAGCAATTTAAAGAAGTTTCAGTGTAAGTTGTTTGCTCAGGCTGGGATAATGACCAGACAGAGCTGAACCATGGGGTGTTCTCCAGAAAGTACCAGATGAACGACCTGGTGTTCCCAGAGCCCGTGGCACAAGGACAAGGGCTGTCAAGGCACTGGCTACAGCACACTTGGAAGTCTACAGGCAAATTCAGCTCTTGGAAATTTGATTAGGATAAAGGAACAAAACATTGGCAGGAGGAGGAGAGGCAGAGATTTCCCAAGAGCTGTACAGTACATGTGAGAACACTGCATAGGAAGCAAGAACCAAAACAAACCAAGCTTCAGGAGTAGTGATGCAGAACCCTTTGAGGCACAAAATGCTCAAGAGAAGTAGGAGAATACAATTCTGTGCTCTTCATTAGCAAAACAATGCCTCATTTGTTATGACTTTTTATTGCCTTTTGTTAACCTAAGCTTCATATCATATTTTTCGAGGCTGCTGCACGAGAAGGGGAATCACCACAGTGAAGGTCAACAGGGACTTGGGCTAGGAGATCATCTCCCTGCCTGCTCTAGAGAGCAAGCAGCCCTTCCTGAACATAAACACCACTCACTTGTATTAGTTACAATGCTCTTCCCAGGCAGACTATTAATGCTAGATAGAGGACAACAGCCAGAACAGAAAATATGGAGGAAAAAAAGATTGGAACAAAGAGGTTGATTAGAGCAAGAGCAGTCAGATACTGAGTGTCATATGCCAAGATTGGAGTGCAACACAGTTCCTTATTAGGGCAAGGCAAGGGTTTCTGCTCAGAGCTGGCTCTGCTTTTTCTGGCATTAGCCTGGTCTAGAACTGCAGTGGCACCTTGCCCCACAGTCAGGAAACACAATTACACTCATTTTATATAAGGAAAAGCCTCTTCATGCACAAGACAATACAGGCACTTTTCCTCAGCAGGACAGATACAGAAAAGCTTACCCTCTTGAATTAATGGATTATGCCCTGGGCAGCTTGATAGGAGACACAGCCAGCCATCAATGAGAAGATATGCTAGGGAAATAACTACCTCATACCCCTCAAGCTGTTGCAGGTTTAAGTACAAACGTAAGCACTGGAAGTCCCTTTATCACATCAACAGCTCAGGTTTGCTGCAGTCTGCTCTGCTTTCTAAACGTAACCTCATCCCCATGAGGCTCTGTCTCATGCTATTTCTAGCTTTGCTGTTAACCTTCTAGGCTTAAAAGCTTCAGAAATAAGAGGGTCTCAAAGAAAAGCATTCACTGCTATTTTCTGTGAGGGCTACATCTCCCCTCAATTTAGCTGTTCAGAGCAAGTAGGCAATTTGCCATACTAGCACGATAGGCCAGGTTTCAAAACAACTGCTTGCTGTGAAGAGATCAAGGAAAGACACTGAAGACATTTCAGTTGAAGGTGTGAAATTCCTTGCTGCTGAATGGGGAGAACACAGCTCTGCAAAGAAGGTATGTGGCAGGGCAGAGTTATGTCCAATTTCTATTTAGGCATTGACATGAACTACAGAAAACAACTATCTACCACAGAGCTCTCCAGCTGAGGTACAAACATGTTTTCTTGAGGCTGAACACTGGCAAACCACTCTCCAGTTACAAACTGCTAAAAAGCAGGACCAGGAACACCTCATACAGTTCCAAAAAGTTCAATAACTTCAGTTCAGAAAACCCATGGCTCCTCATAGGTCTTCCCTTCCTCTGCAGCTCAAAACCCACAGGACACCTGTCTGGAACACCAGCTAAGAGAATTGCTCTGAAATGCCTTGATTCCTGACCCAGTTTTACTTTA